ATAAAAGGGAAATAAGGCACGTGCGTTCTGTGCGGCCCGGTCCCAAATCCCCTGCGGCCCGGTACCGGCCCGCGGACCGGCGGTTGGGGACCCCTGCCATAGATCATCAAAAACAGTTAATTTGGTTTGGTTGTGAATTTTGCTGGTTCTGGTGGGTCCACTTACCCCCAATGCAAGTGGATTGTCATGGCGAAAACAAAAAAAGACAATTTTCTCGATATACATCACCGTCCTGGATGAGTAGCATATTCAAATTCAAGATATTGTGGTACATTAACATGCTTTTTTTCCCCAATATTTTTCATCTTTATATCATACGTCCATCCATTTTCCAACCCGTTTATCCTCACGAGCCTCACGGGCGTGCTGGAACCCATCTCAGCTGTCTTTGGGTCATAAGCGGTGTACACCCTGGTTGTCAGGCAATTTTTTGATGATGAAGATGATGATTATTATTATGTAAGTTTGAATTATGTTTTTTTTTTTTTTTTTTTTTAAATACCAACAACAACAACAAATCTGCCTCAGCAAGATGCATTTTGACCACCCTCTTTAAGTTATAAAAATGTTTCCTAAAGAATTACAGTTCCTAAAGGGCTACCAGTTTTTTGGCTTTATTTTTAATGTGTTTATTGTTTCCATCTAATTTGGCTAAATGAAGTAACCAAAGTATCATATACAGCTGTTTGTATGATACAGTACGATTGTTCACCAAGGCAAAGAAGTAGCACAGTACTAAACACTCACTATTGTTAAAATATCTCCTCCACAAGATCAAGATAGTAATTTGGATTTGTACTTGTAGCTTCTGAGTTAGCATTCTTTGAACTTTACTGACATTCAAATATTGTTCAAAAGTCTTGCAAAAACGCATTAAATAATTAGTTTACCTGAGTGGGACGTACACACGGAGAAAGCGGTCCAGTGAGATGGCCATGAGTGATAGAATGGAAACCAGGGTCAACAGGATGACCACGCAGCTGATGAAGAGGCAGGTGCGAAAGGAGGTGCTCACCCTGCCGTCCACCAGCACGGCCAGGGGGACGGCTACCAAGCCCACCGCGCAGTCAGCTACCGCCAGCGACACGATTAGACAGAAGGTGGGCTGCCCGATGCTTTTGGTCGTCTGTACGGCAGCGATGACCAGAGTGTTTCCGAGGACGCAGCAGACGGCGATGAGTACCTCCAACGAGGCATAGACCACCTCGCCCGCATGCATCACGTCTCCTCTGTGGTTCGCCATGCGGTATGGTGACACTTCGATCTTCATCTCGGGCTTGAATGGTTTGAGGAAGTCAAATGTGCTTCTTCCTATTTCTGTTAAGGCTGACACACTTTAACCCTGATGAATGTGATTGTGCTGTGTCAGGAAGAGGCCACTACTTTTGTTGGTTTCTTTGCTTAAGTGCTGTGTATGAGCGAATGAATCAGCGCTAAGGTAAATTTAAACCATAACCAAAACGTCCCAATTGCTAATATGTTGCCTAGTGACGCACTTCAGCATTAGGCTTGAGTTACCCTCCCCGATGAGAACTGGAACACTTTCCTTTGCACCCGTCATCATTCGGCTCAGTTTCGTTACTGAGTTATTATTACCAAGCGCAAGCCTGTCAATTTGCAAGCTAGCTGGTGGTTAGCCACCTCTCGTCGTGCCGTGTAAAGCACCTCGGCGACCTTGTGGGATGTATTCCAGCAGCTGGAGGCTTTAATTGGATGTGTTTTTGCAGCTGAAACGTGGGATGTCGTGATGTGTAGGTGCTAAGATGCTACATGAGTTAGCATCCATTCGGACATGCCCACGGGATTAGAGCAGAGAAAACGCTAGATTATTGTTTTTTTTTTTTGTTTGTTTAAATCATGCACATTTAGCAAAGTTGTTAACATTTTTCTCTGTGTTGTATCAAATTTAGCAGACAATTATTCTCACTACACTTTAATAAGAAATCAAAAATTTTTTTACACCGGTGACAATTTTTATTGTGGTGTCAGTGGAAGGCTGAACTCAACATTGAACACACATTTCCCGGCATTTTGGCCAAGTGTATGCTTCCAACTTGGTAGGAAGGCACCTTCTCTTTAGCATGACCAAAGGACATTGCATAAAGTCCTTCTACAAGAGATTAAGTTTTTTTTTTCCACTTCTGCAGATGGACTGTTGGTGTGTCTAAACACTTTTGTCCACACAAGGCACAAACTACCAGTGGTGATTGTCTCATGTGATCTAATTTGAAGAAAACCCACATATGTGTCTCTCGTGTGTCTGGGACCATTTTGCAAACACGCGCAAAAATAAAGACCTCAACTTCAATGTTTTCAAGTGCCAACTTTCACATCTCATGATGGTTTCTCTTCCGGTTACACTTCTCAACAGAGCGCAATGAAGTCCTCTGGAATTACTGTCAATTTTACTCACACAGTATGTTTTGCTTGAAATGTATCGCTCACTGGAAGCAAACGAATGTGACATCAAAAGTTCATATGTAATGTGGAGCCTGAAAAAACTTGGAATGTTTGCCTTTTTTTAAAGGTTAATATTGAGGAGGACAAAATGGAACTTGCAGTTTAAGACAGGAAAGGCAAGGCAGCTTTATTAACTGTATATGGTGCATTTCATCCACAAGGTAACTTCACATTCTTAAAGGTACCACGTTTAAAAGCATTAACAAAGAAAAGAGTTAGACATTTAAAAGAAAAAAGTAAGTTCCTAAGATAAGAAAAGATAAGAAAACCTTTATTTGTATCACAATGGAGAAATTCCTGATTTACAGCAGAAACATTATGAAAGGGAGAAAGTAAAAGACAAAAGTATATACTGTAAATAAATATAAATATAAAATATAAATCTAAGCATATTCAAAATGGGTGAGTGGGGGATGAGTCCAGGTTTTCAGGACAGGACTAAAATGACTAAAAGAACATTCAGCGGGACAAAGAAGATTTTTGGAAAAACATATTTTAAAACTACTTTAAAAGACCTTAATCCTATGTATGTCTGCTTCCATCTTTTTTGATCAGGTTACATAATCACTGTGAAGTCCTTTGTGCTGTAACACGCTCCTGTTCATTTTGAACTTATGCCAATGGACTGGTTGCACACTGCTGCACAGTACAATGGTTAGCGGCTAGCCCGTCACTCTCAAAGGAAGAATGTGAAACCTGAGGTGAGGTGTGCCATCTAAATTATGGCAATACTGTACTTGACGACACCATATGCCATTTTTAGAGCGCAAAAGGCTAGAAAACAAGTACAATATTGAATAGTAGGGTGTTAAAGCACGGAACACGCCACAGTGATTATGCAAACCAGTCAAAAATGTCCAGTATGGCAGCGTACAAAGGATGTCATTATTTCAATACTTAATCCTTTTTTTCAGGGACTCAGCTGCCATTAATATTTGCATTTTTAACATTCATACAAGTCGGTGATAGTGTTGTGGTACACTCGCCTGACTTGTGTGCGGGCGGCGTGGGTTCCGTTCCCACTCAGTGATGGTGTGCACTTGATTGTTTGTCTCTATGTACGTGCCCCGTGACTGACTGGCGACCACTTCAGGGTGTAGTCCGCCTTCTGCCTGAAGTCAGCTGGGATAGGCTCCAGCAACCCACCCTGACCCTGTTCGGGATAAACGGTATTGAGAATGGATGGATGGAGGTTCATACACACTGCCTAATGGAATGAAGGAAAATGAATTTTGAATTGTTTGTTGCTTTTAAGTCGACACTACAGCTCACTGGGAGCCAGTGTGAAGAATTTAGGAGAGGAGTCATATGTTCTGATCTCTTTGTTGTCTTTTCAGAACCCGGCCTGCAGCGTTCTGCAGCTATTTGATGCTCTTTTGAGTGAGTCAAGTCAGAAGACCGTTGTACTAATTAAGTCTACAGATGATAAAAGCATGGATACGCTTCTCCTGATCTGCTTGGAGCATGCAGCCCTTCACTCCGCATGTTTTTCAGTTGGCAGAAGGCTCTTTTAGTGATTGCCTTGCTATGACTACTGACAGTCAGATCCGAATTTATCAGCGAGGTTTCGGACTTGGTCTTTGGCTTTTAAAGATAGCGGTTACAAGACTGGTCGCCAGCCAATTGGAGAGCACATATAGAGGAACAACCATTCACCTTAGCTCTGACATCTTAGGAATGGGGGAGAAATTTTCAAACTCCACAAAAGTAGCTGGTCAGAGCATGGATTCGAATCAGAAACCTGTGAGTTCACGTGTATGGTGTTGCCTAGTTTAAGATAATTTATTTTTCCATGTGTTTCACAAATTTATTAGACTACTGTTAAAAAAAAAAACAAAAAAAAAAACAACAACAACAAATCACACCGCACCGTCAGGTGCTTTATATCGGACTCGTTCGATTTCAGTGCCGTTTGACCATTTAAACAAGAGGAAGAAATTGTAGACTGATTTTTCTTCAGTCAAATTTAATCACAAAAGCACTTTTTTGATATTAATCCATAAACTATGTGCAGAACAATTTTTTTTCCTTTTTCTTTTTTAAATATACATTCGAAAATTCATAAGGCTATCCTCGCATTGAAAATATCATTTTGGTTCAAAAGCACTGACATTAACCATTACGGAAACATGAAAAAATGATTTTGGTTAAGTGCTGTTGTTTTGTTCGTAATAGTCACAATGCTATGCGCAGAGGGGAAGAAGCAAAGTTGATTTTGCCATGTAACTTCCTCATGGTTTTCGGACTGTCTTTATTGCATGTGAGCATTTTTGCTGGCAAGATGTCTCTCAAATTTTTTAGACACACATACTGATAAACAAATTAAAAACCATGTTTTTAAAGTAAAATGCACTATTGAAACCTGATAGCCAACTGTTCTTTGTCTCTTTTATAAATGCCAGCCTCACAAGGTTGAGCATCAAATTTAGGCAGATGATGATCATGAAAACCCAACGTAAAACACTTTGTGTTCCCAATGATGGCAGTGTGCAACGAGCTTCACTTTGTGCCACTCAAGGAATGTAATAGACTGTATAGTTAGCACTTCTTGGGGGGGACTGGCAGCATAACACAAACTATACAACCGACAACTTCACCTCGCTAGGCTCCACTCACCATTATGTTTAGTGCGAAGAGAGGATGGGCTGAGTTTGCGGTATTTTTGTCCACCTTGTCAGTGAGCGAGCTGTCTCACGGGCAAAGACAGTAGATTGTATAGTTATCTCAGAGGGCGCACAAACCCCACAACTATTCAATCTACTACCTCAGCCGAAATGACAGAAGAAAGGGAAGGCAGAAGTTCACATGTCATCTGTTCATCTATGACACAAGAAAATAGGAAAGTTAATTAGTTTGATGGCGTGTGTCAGTGAAATAATACGACCAAATACAGTAGTATATCCAGTAAACCAGGTTCCACCCTGCTGGGATTGCAGGAGATTAAGTGTCAATAATGAATGCACAATTTCCTCAAATTGTGTATTTTTACGAAAGCAAATAACTGTTTTGAAAGTTGAATTAAAATGACAAAATATATGACAAGAACTGAGGCCCTGCACGAATAGCAAAAATCTGTAAGTTGTAGACCCTTAGAAATGTGCCCCAGATGATACTAAACGCTTTGTTTATAATCACCTGTAGATGCCAAAAGATGGGTGGAAAGCACTACCTTTTTGTAAATTATGTTCTTCAAGTCACTTTAACATAGTTTCTTGAAGCAAGATGGTAGAAAAGCACTTATTTCGCCTAAATAAATCTCGTCATTTCAATGTAGTTTCTTGGCAACAAGAAGGGGACAAAACAATACTTTTGTTAAAACGAAGCTCCTCAACTCACTTCAACAAAATGCCTTAGCAGCAAGATGACACAAGATGCTGCCAAAGCAAGCAATACTTTTATACACTATGTGAACCGCATACACATAAGAGTATTTTTTCCAAAAATCAGCATTTGACGATCTTTTGAAAGAATGAACTTTTTTTTTTTTTAATTATACTGAAAAAAAAACACTACCTCACCTAATTCAGTCAATTTTGCTTCCTTTCTAAATACCAAATATCAAGTGGTAGCTTCCCCTTATAGCAGCACCTCTGGAACTTATATAAATACTAACTAGTCGATAAAAATTGATGAGTGCAATTGAAGACAAATACAGAATGATACTACTAATGTACATTTACAGTGGGTTTTGTTTTGCTATATTTTGGCTCTAACTTTGTTGTTGTTGACTGTCTAGATGTGGATACAGTTGGGCTGTGAGGTCCCAGCGCAAAGGGTTTTGGGCTTTGCATAAATTACCATGTGCTCAGCAGTGGCTGAAAGGCGTCTGGGCCGTTCATTACTGTCCCCCGATTCCTCTTTGGCCCAATTTGTAGCGACAGTGATTGAAATGTTTTGGCGGCAGCAGGATATGACCAAGGGGCCCGAGGGTGTGGCAGGGAGGGGGTCGGAGCATGGCATGGAGAATGGCACAAGGTCATGAGAGAGTATGACGCCACGACTGAGACGTTCAATTAATTAGAAGCTCAAAACCAAAGATGGATGATTGACTTTTCAAATAAATGAAGTTGCTTGCCCGGTGATAGCTGTAAGGTGGTGGGTGAGCTGGAGCCTATCGCAGCTGACTTTGGGCTAAACACTCTGGACTGGTTGGCAGTCACTTGCAGGGCACATACCGACAAATATTCATCTATTAATCTGTTTCCCTTTGCACCTGTCCTCATTAGGGTGAATGAGAGACAATTTCCGTAATTTCTGGACTATAGACCGCACCTGATTATCAGTCGCACCACTACATTTTTAAAGGAAAAAAATATTTTGTACACACATAAGCCGCACCTGTGTATAAGCCGCAGGTGCCCATATTGTAACATGAAATATTTACGAAGAAAGACGGTACACAGGCAGCCGTTAGAAAAGTCTTTATATAAGCCGCTTCATGAAATAAGCCGCAGCGTTGAAAGCGTGTGACAAAAGTCGCGGCTTATAGTCCGGAAATTACGGTATTACAAAAGAAATAGAAAAGCTGGAAACCACCTTTTTTTTTTTTCGAGACAAAGAAGAGAGCCTTCTCTTTGGTTTGGTTCGGTGCTCTTATTGTCTTTGAACACAATAATGTGTTAAATGGACTAAGGTGTGCGGAGGCTGGACTGGTTGCTGAGAAAATGTTGGATGGCTTGCAAAGGACTACTGCAGTGCTTTTGAGCAAGGCATCAGTTGCTCCTGTATGCACCCCCATCACTTTGAAAAAAATCTAGTTTTCTTTTTCTTGGATGGACATAAACTCCTGTCGACCAGATGAGGACTGTCCATTGTATGGACAGTCAGACATTATGAGGGAGCATCTGGCAGCCTGATTGTGCGCCCCCATTTCCCTTGTACCCTTTTTTTTTCCAGGCCTTTATTTTGCCTCATTGACATGCAGCTTGGCACGGGGACAATGTCCTGGTTTCTTGGAACCAAACGACCTCAAGAGAACGAAAAAAAACACTGCTTCCCCCTTTCCTCCAGGCTCGACCCCAGAATGCAAATGTTACATTCCAGTCCATTTAATTAATCACTTATGTTTTCATGGCATTATCCATGAACCAGGAAGTAGCCTGTTGAGAGAGAAATGTACTTTATGATGGAACAGTTCCTCCCATCCCAGAATGTAAATGTTGGCGTCTAGTGACTGTCCTTCCAAATGTAGGAAGTCATTTTCCATGAAGTAGAAATAAGCCTGATTGCAAACTAATGTACAGACAAAAAAAAAACAACAACAACAACAACTAAAACAACAACTTTCATTACTTCAATGAGATGAATTTGCTTGACAATAATGCGGAATGGTCTAGTCTAGTCCTCTGTAAAACAGAAACTACACTGAAAATTTGCTGGTGTTAATTCAACACCGAGAGTGTTAATTTTAACACCAGCAAGGTGTCGAAATGCATCCACACTAGCTGATGTAAAAGTAACATTTAGTTAAACGTGAACTGATCAACACCCAATAGTGTGTTTAAGCAACAAAATGTAGTGTTGACATTGTAACAATGATGACACTATTGAGTGTTTCGAACACTGACGATTGTTCATGCCAACAATATACAGTGTGGTGAAAAATACTCCATGCCACACTACCTTAAATAAAACACATTACACAATTCCAATTCAAACATTCTTTATTAAATTTATTTCACATAAAACAGCAGTGGGGCATGATGTATGTTCTCTTTTCAATTTCATGCGAAAACCTCTTATCACACAAATAATAACATCAGGTCAGATACTCTATGACCAGTGAACAAATCCTCCTCAATTCTAAATTGTAATCATTCAGGTAATCATCAAAACCCAGAGTAATAACATTTGTGGTCAAAACAACGATCTAATTGTCATGAAGATTTTCCTGAAAAGAGGATTTTCAGTAGCCCTCCATACAAACATTTCAGTCTGCCATTCAGTTCCTTAGTTTTTCAGTCAGGAGGCGGTGGCAAGACAAAATATTACATATTTGACAAGAACCTTATACCTGGTCTGGACAGTGTCGCATCTCTCTGTGCATGAATGTTGCCTTCATTTTGGCACTTTGACAACTGGCTGGTTCACCAAATATTTCATCATGGACATACATTCATCACCTGATGGCTGTTCAGATGTTGAGTGGTCTTGCAAAGGCCGAAGGCCACTTTCAAAATGACATAGCAACAAAACAGACCGAAGAATATGGACACAAAACAATTAACATGACACACTCAAGTCCATTTTCTGTCGGCCTACATAGCCAAATGAGAAAACCCCTTTTTGGCAACTCAGTGCTCACATAAATTGGTGAGGCCTTGTTTTACAGATTGGGGAAGAGTGTGACAATTCCACGTACCTAGATATTGCGGACATTGACGTTTTCAAATGCGCACTTAAATCCAATCAAATTGTTTCAAGGACACTTGTTTTTTCATATCATCTCATTTACATGTTACAATTTGTTGAATAGGCGTATTAGTTTGTCAACCAACTGACAAATGGCACTCATTACACTGACTACTCGCTCGTCCATAAAAAGTCACGTGGAGTGTGTCACTCGAGCTGCCTACACCTACTTCAACCACATGTTAAATACCATGAATGAACCAATCCGATTGGCTGTGTAGCCCATGTGAAATCATGTCTGACCGAAATACAATTACTGTCTGTTTTTAACAATATAAAATAGAAAACTCAAATGGAAACCGAGGTATGAGGCAATTTTTATTTCATCAAATGCCATCGTGAACGTTTTGCCTACCTTAGCGAACTTTGAGTCCATCTTGCAAGCAAGGAGGAAAATGATGCTGAAGAAAGTGTCTTGACTCTAACTACTCAATTACAATCATTACATAAGGCCATGGATTCAAGTTCACATAGACACCAATAAGGGTTGATCCAGGTGACACCCCATTTTAAAAAAATGTATCAATGTCACATCCTAAACAACACAAGCTATTTTATTACTGAGTGGTGTTAATGCAGCAGTTTTTAACACTGTCCCTGAACTTTTAATACTGGTCCTCTTTGCAGTGTACTCTGCTAGCTAACAGACGTACAAACATGCAAAAATACGGTGCTCAACAATTTTTCACACTTTTATCCAAGTCATTTAGTATATTGCGTTCCTGCCATTCCAGAATTCTAAATGGCACGGCCACTTTCATCTTACAATCTTCCATGAACGTTGTGAGTTGTGTTACTGAGTGAACCTTCCTGCTTATATTTATGAAGAGATCTTTCTATTTTGCGTCGACAAGCCGTTCCTTGCCTTCTATTGCCTCATTCTTGTCCGACCACAGAACTTGCTACAAGGAGGGGAAAGTATTTCACAAAAGAATCAGAATACACAGAAAAAGTGAACAAAAAGTGGGTGTTTTTAGTATTTAATTTAGTCAACGATCTTGTGAGGTTAGACTCACAGGAAACCTGCTGAGCTTAAAACAAATGTGCAGACATTAACGGCACATCTGGACGATCCAGATGTTAATCTCAAGATTGATTTCACATGGCTCGCGCATGCACACGCGCATGCACACACACACACACACACACACACACACACACACACACACACACACACACACACACACACACACACTGTGAGAACGTCATCACTGCCTCCCCGCCCCCCTTTTTTCTACATTTGATAATTTGGTTGCTCATTGCTGCAACTTTTAAAAGTGGTTGTGGCTCATCTCTGAGAAGGCTGATTAAATCCTGTTTACAAGCCATAACACAGTGGCGCTAACAAACCGGAATAGCATTGTGAGTATCTTCTGAAAAAAAAAACCCAAAAAGGAGACTTTGATCCAAATGACCTCAACTTTAGTAATGTGGGAAGCGGTGGGTTCACAGCAGGACAAGAGAACCAGATTGACCATGCTTAATGTACCAACACGTCACACTGACAACAAAAACCAATAACGTGCACACATATGAGCTTGTTTTGTGTGTTTGTGTATGTGTGTGTGTGTGTGTGGGGGGGGGGGTCTGTTAGACACACACACACAAGCTGCTACAATCTTACATTGCATTGCAAGCCCCTTCATGCGGCAAACAAGGATTTCTGCCTCTATCTGCATCGGGTTCATGTGGGTTTGGCAGCACAGCCACTGTATTATTCTTATTATTCTTCTTCACTGCTATAAACAGTTAACATGAAATTAATTACGATTTTAATAACCGCTCAGCAATGTATTTTTACTTTTTTCTGGTGCATAGTGTATGTACACTAGTGTACTGCATATTGTGTACTGTATTCCCATAGTATTGTGTGAGACACCTTAAGATTAGAAACATAGTTTGTACATGCATGAATGCATACAAAAATGCATACATGCATACATACATAGATACGCACAGCACATACTAGTTTGCAGTGAACCAACAAGCAAACAATTTCAATAGCCCAACACAACATTAAAAATGTATACGACAATAATAGCAAATTTTAGGTTGCCATAGCTATTGTCAATGGACAATATTTGTTTGACAAATGCCAATATGTCCTTTAATGTCACCTATAATTATTTGTACTTCTGATATTTAATGGTATTAGGCTAATTGAACACTCTAAATTGTCCCTAAGTGTGAGTGTGAGCGTGGATGGTTGTTCGTCTCTGTGTGCCCTGCGATTGGCTGGCAACTGGTTCAGGGTGTCCCCTGCCCAAGGTAGCGGATCGGAAAATAGATGGATGGATGGATGGATGGATGGATGGATGTAATGGTATCGTTTGTGACACCTAGAGATTACAAACCTACAGTAGTTATGAAATAAGAAAATAACCATTTAAATAGCTCTACGTAACACAATTTGCCAATGCATTTTTTTTTCTAAACGTTAACTATATATCCCCAGAGCTAACAATTTAATTCATGTATTACGTGTAAAAAAATGTCAACATTTCACCTCCTGTCTAAACTAGCATCTCGGAATATTTTCATTAGAGTATTTTATGCACTGTCCCTTTTTAATTGGTACTGTAATCTCAGCTGCTAAAAAGATAATAGTTGGACTCATTTTGGATGCATTTGTGTTGGACTACGTTATGTCAATACATTACTAACTAAGGTACTATGGAGCTAAAGTACCTCATTCGGCTAGCTCTGTGTATTGTAATGTACCGGTATTTAATATACCGGGACTTTAATGTGCACTCGTCTTTTAAAAAACAGAAGGCATGAAGCTAATTATTTAAAGGGTGTATTGACTTATAATGAAATTACTCTCATTTAAATCAATGGATGAAGAGTCTTACGTGCAGCTGGATTTATGCTCATCTGAGTTGTTTCATGCATTACGTAAATGTGAACACAGTCATGCTTCACTTGAAATGTTATATATAACATGTAGTGTAGTTATATAACATGATATAGACATGAAATCTGAATTGGGCACATTGTAAATGCGGCCTAAAACATCACAAGCCAGCAGACCTGGTCAATCGGGCTTATTTGGAACCAAAAAATAAAATAAAATTTTCATGTAAGTAATGCGATTTAAGACACGGTTTCATATCTGATCGCATGCCTTAGTGTGTTTCCCAAAGCTGAGTAGGCCATCTACAAATAATTAAACTCCCCCACCCTCCCACCCCTCTCAAAACATCACACAGGACAAAGTCCCAGCTTGTCGGAAACGAGAGGGTAGCCATTACTATGGAGAGGGCGAGCACATTGTTTTCGGTGCAACGCGAGCACGTCGATTAAAAAAAATGCGACAACAGAAATGTTAAAATGTAAATTAAAGCATGAATATGAAATACTCGCAGGTGAGCGTGGTAGAAAAAAATTGCAACAATGTCGCAGAATTTAGAACAGGCGAGATGGAATGCTTTTACGCTTTTCGGCTGTTAAATGTTAAAAAAGGTGGTGGAAGCCATGCAATTCCTTTTTTTCTTTTTCTTCCTGTCCGCTTCTGCTAGGAGGGAAGAAGTTACAAAGTATCACAACGCGACTCGAATTGTACCCTCATAGCGGATGCTATCCCCGAGCGAGTGAGCGACTTCAAAAGGGGTCTCGGCTTAGAGCCGCGGTGTCCTCACAAAGTCGTCTCGTTTGTTTGCGGGATTACAGGGTTGAGCAAGATGGGGAAAGGCATCTTAAAAGAATCCAAAGTGAGTACTTACAGGCAGGCTTGAAATGACGCCAGCGGGGTTTGACGCTGTTCCGGATGAAGCCATCCAAATGGCTTCCCGACGCGTTTCGCTGCAAACGACTTGTTCCTTGCTAAGCCTTTTGTCAGCACTTGGCATCCTTCCCAGGTAGTCCATGCCTGGCGGAACCCATTCTTGGCTCTGCGTCTTTTTAGTCGTCCTGCACCTGCCTGGGTGCTTTTTTTGTCCCGAGATTTCCTGCCAGTAGACTCAGTCGAGGACAATGGTGAACATTTTAATCCACCATTTACAGTCAACAAGGTGTCCAAGATCGTACAGCGAAGAAATAAGAGCAATGCAAACAGGAGCATAAAATAAATACAAACCTTTGAGGACTCTTTGTATTCAAAGTGTGTCCACCATGTGTCACTCATCTTTCCTCAGGCGATATCCAAGACAGCTTTGCCTCTGTGACGTCAGCATAAAAAAATCCTCCCTTCGTCATCAAACAATTTCCTTTTTTTTTTTTTTTTTGTTAACCACAAAAAGAAAGAAAGTAGAGGAGCAGAATCCTTACTCTCTCACAGGTCTAGGCTGTGTGTCTTTTTGCCTTCCTGCTGGCGAAGGCTCGGCTTGTAAAAGTTGCGCTGCAAGGGTTTGGGCCAGCCTCCGTTGGCAGCGGTTCAACAGATCACTGCTTATTTAGGAGAAACAGGGGTGATGGGGCAGCCCGCTCTTTCGCTTGCGCTGCAGGCCTCCTTTTTTTTCTCTCTTGGGGACGCCAGGAAGTGACTATTCACTCTCTGAGACTTTGTGACGGAGCGTCGGCTGTAAAAGGAAGTGGGCACTAGGAGCTCAGCTTCCTGGCGGGCGTCAGCTTTGCGTCTCGTCTCAGACTTTGTTTCCCGGCTGCCCGACCTTCGTTTTGCAACTGTGCCACAGCTGCAGGGTATTCGGCAGTCGTGGGCCATGCATGTGGTACCTGGGGACACAACCGACCTGATCGGCCCCTATATACCACCACTGTCAAGTCACAATCAAAAAGCCATCAATAGTGTACAAAAACACGATACAACAGCATCAAACTCTGCCATGTATATCATTTGGGGCAGTTCAGTTTTGTTTTAATAATATGATGAAAACATAACAAAACAAACAAACAACAACCACATCAATAAAATACCTCATACATACCCTGGATTCTGATTATTAAATGTATTTATATGTGCAGATTGCTTCAGATGAGTTTTGCCAGGTAACCATGGCTTCCTCTAACCAACCAAAGGACAGAAAAATGCTGACGTCAGCCAGCGAGCTGGCCCTGTGAAACTCCAAAATTTGATTGGTTCAATAAACAGTCCCAATACTAATCAAGTTAAAGTTCCCTTGGTCTACACAACTGATTCTGAAGGCAGATTTGATTGACAAGGCAGCACAAAAAAAGTTGAAATCTGATCAGCCAACAAATAAATAAATACAAAATCTAACATCCAAACAATACGAAACAAACAGAATAGACAGCGGTGAATCGATTCGGACAAGATCATGGAGCAAATGCTTTAAATCTCGCATCAAAGGGGACACATTATGAAAAATTGACTTTGGAAGTTTGTGTATAGAAATTGTTCTTGGAGTGCCTCCTTGCCCATGAATTGTGAGCTTAAACAACCGAGTGAAGTCAAGTAAATTGTGAGCTGCCTATTTTTGAAATTATGTCTGTGAGCGAGCCCATCTGAACTCCACCTGCTTCACCCCAGACATTTGACATTGATTTTACTAATTTACATCACAAACACCCCCTGCCCCGCCCTCCCACTGACCGTAATTTCCGAACTATAGAGCGCACCTGATTATAAGCCGCATCCACTACATTTTAAAGAAAAACCCATTTTGTACAAATACAAGCCGCACCTGTCTATAAGCCGCAGGTGCCCATATTTTGCCATGCGATACAGTATTTGCAAAGAAAGACGGTACACAGAAAGAGGTTTCAACGTGTCATAGCATATCTGAACTTTTTTGTGCCTGTAACGCGGCAGCATGATGGCAGTATACCAGCACTCACACGGCTGGTTAAAAAAAAAAAAAACATTGTTCCCCGTCAAGTAATGCTTTGTTTTAAAATGAAAAAAATCCTCGCTTGCCGAAACACTCGGTCAACCATTCCTTCATTAGGCTTTCTGTCATCCACGCTTTCGTGTCAACTTTCAAGACAATGTCTTTCGGGAGGTTTTCTGTTGGCATATGTAACCAACAATACGATGACTGTTGTAGTGAATGCTGCCTCATTTCATAAAAGCAGCACTGTCACTTTAAAAGGAGCGTTGGATAATCTCGTGGGAAATCTCGTGAGACTTGGACCACGAAGTGAAGTGACACGACCGCTGAGCTGTGCTTATTCAGACCTGATGTATCTGCAATCGGCATTGTAATACAGCTGATATTAAGAGTAAAATATTGTTGTTTGGGAGTTTGAATGGTGTCGCACAGTGGGTCGTGTGAACACCCGTAAAGCAGGGGAGATTAGTTGTTTTCCATGTATTTCGGTTCCGCTGCAGAATACGGCTGTCCGTCACCATGACGACTACGGTTGGCGCTAGTCGGGGCAGCTCCTTGTTGAGTCGAAGAAAAGTGAGTGTGAACTGGCCAAGTGTGTGAGAGCCTCCATTAGGCCAAACAAAAAAGATAGTGTGTTTCCGGTAACATGAAATTTCAGCATAGGGTCGGTAGGTCGGACAAAGTTTTTTTTCTTTTTTTTTTATTACTCGGCCCGTGGTGTTCATCAAATAGTTCGCTGAATTTTTTCGATACATCAATGGATGCTATTTTCTTAACATTACGGTGCAGGCTTGCGACTGTAACACAGAAAACGCGGTTTAAACTGTCGTCGGAGATCGCGGCCGCCGCCATGTTTCAATATTGTTGACAGACGACAGGGCAAACGACGCACGCGCTCAACGTGAATATCGCGAGAGTTTGCACCAATGTAAACCCTCTACACAAAAATGTAGAGGGTTGTTTGAAAAAAATGCCGATCGTAAAGTTTTTTTTCGACGTAGAAATTCTCGGTCAGTCGGGTTACCGGAAACACACTACTATTTTTTCTACGCCTTACAGTAAACACTTCGACTGTATTTCATTGATGGAGGCATCACTTCATCGTCACGCCACAAAATTCCATATGTCAAGTGGTAAAGCAGACACGTGCATGTGATGCATCGGCAAACACAATTTTGTGTCTGTCACCACCACATGAGAATTCGTAGGCCACGTGGGTTCAGTTCCTATTCAGTGACGGTTCGAATGCGAGAGGGAATTGTCGTCTGTCTCAATGTACCTTATGATTGACTGGTGACCAATCCAGAATAAAATAAAGCATGAAGTAGCAACCTGACCAAACAAAACCAGCAACAGCGCTACATGCCTCCTTAAGCATCTCTTACAAACTGAGTCATTGGACAAACTATTCGGATGCCGCTGGAGTCTGTTTAGAATCTAAGCCTGCTGCAGTCACAGAAGTTCCAAATCTTTTGTTCTTCGCAAAAAAACATGTCAATAAGGGCAAGTGAAGCATGTAATTAGTTTTATGATCGCAGAATGGAACGCTATGGCCATTGTTTCAAAAACTAGAAACAGCCGCCGCAAACAGGCAGAAACTTGTTCTCTCCATTCGGCACACAGTTTTCGCTGGAGCCTCAAAGGGGAACTTATTGGTTTGCCAAACCAACACTGATGGTCCACTGAAGACCAAATGAGACGAACAGAAACATGAGCGCACATCTGCCATTGCCGCACAAACACAACCTTGTATGTGCAGAAGCAGGAATTCGCTGAATGAAAATATATGAGGGTGGAGTTGATTTTTGATTCTACTACTAGAGAGTCAACAGGATGTATGTATAGGACATGCGTTCTGTGTTTCTTTTAGATTATTTGATTAGCTGGACCCTATCCCATTTGATTTTGGGCCAGAGAAGCAATTTACACTCTGGAGTCGTCGGCAGCCAATCGTTGGACACACATACAGTCGATAAACAACCATCCATGACACGCATATTCCTTGATGGATAATTCTCAGTCCTCGACATAGCATTCACGATTTCAGAATATGGGAGTAAGCCAAACTAATTAAGGAAAGGAGGTCGTTGGGGGCATCATGTAGGGTGCAAGGCAATTTCCAAGCGTCCACGTCACAATGGCCAACTTTCGCAAGTGGAGATCTTGCAGTTCTTTGTTAATAATGTATTTTGTGCAGGTCTCTTCTGCATAGAATCCAGCTTGTCTGTTCTGCTTCCGCTATGTAGACCCTGTACCTCTCCTGCACTGAATTTAAAGGGAATTAGAGGAGCCACTTCCATTGGCCGGGAAAAAAGGTGGCTGTCTTCATGTCCACAACGGCTAACTGCATGCATCTACAAAAATATCTCACAAAGAAATCTCCACTCATGCCCCCAAGTGTTAATTTACATAAATATACATCCAGTAAATACCGTACATGTAATACTGTGAGCTTGCTGATTAACCCGTCGGCCTCACAGAGGTTGCTGGATTTGTGGTACTCCGGCTTCTTTCTACATTGCAAATACATGCATATGTTAGGTTGATTGAAGACGAAATTGTCCATATCTCTGTTACAGCTGCAGCTGTTGTAAAAGCGCTATATAAATAAAGACATTATTATGGCGTCTCTGTGGTCGACTGGTTAGCGCGTACACCTCACAGTGCAGAGGTGCAGGGTTCGATTTCGGCGCCAGCCTTCGTGTGTGGAGTTTGCATGTTCTCTCCATGCCTGTTCCCTCCCACTCCCACATTCCAAAAACATGCATGGCAGGTTAATGGAACACTTTGAATTGTCCCTAGGTGTGATTGTGAATACGAATGATTGTTTGTCTATGTGTGCCCTACGATTGGCTGGCAAACAGTTCAGGGTGTCCTCCACCTACTGCCCGAAGACAGCTGAGATAGGCTCCAGGACGCCCCGCGACCCTTGTGAAGATAATCGGATCAGAAAATGGATGTATTATATTGTATGCTTAAATGTGAATGATTTCTTTCTTATCTATTTGTGCCCTATGATTGGTTGGTGACCTGACCTCCTCTTGTCAAAAGCCAGCTGCAACCCTAATGAGGAAAAAGGAAGAACCTATTCTGATTATAATCCATCAGTGGGCAATTCAATGTGCACTCTGCTGTCTCTTTTCATTGTTTTAGGCCTTTTTGTCATTCTAAACTGCTGGATCGATGCAGTTACAACACAAACTGACGCTCGTCAGTCAGTTGTTCCACTGAGCTGTTGATCTGGATTCCTCTGGCTTTGATGCCATGTTTAGTCCTAATTTGGTGAAACTATTGCGAGCCAAAGGAGCCACAGTATCATAAATCTAACACGACTCCCTACCCTCAACGACACATGTTGAGGGTAGGGAGGGGAGCAAGTGAGCGTGTATCGACAGAACTTCTACCAAGACACAAAATAACCTACTGCCTTTCATCAGAAGTTTGTTTGAGCGGAATTAGTTTTGTGCCGCCAGCACTAATTGTTTGTTGTCTTAATTGAAAAGATGCTACAATACAAAATGTATCATATTGACATTCTTTTTTAGCAGCGTGCAAGTTTGTAATATATTGTATATATTATATATTACAGTATATTATCTGGCATTTCACAGCCAGGAGACATTGTTGCATTTTCTTGTCGAGTCTTGTCTCGCACCTCCCTGCTGCCCGGGCATGTTTCCTATTCAAACAAGCCTCTTCTTTGGCTATACTGTAGGTTCGGCAAACATGGATACTTCCTTTTG